TAGACTTTAGAAACTCAGAAGCTGATCAAATATCGGGTTAAATATCGGTGGGGTGGCCGATGTCCCATATTCAGTTTTAAGGCCGATACAGGCCGATACCGATAGGAGGCCGATTATATCGTGCATCCCTATTTATTTCCTTGAATACCCTGGAAACCATCATTTTATAAAACCGGAATAGATCCGTCTGCTTCTAACTGAACGCCTGCCTTCATCATTTAATAATCTGTCCTCACTGTTTGGAACTAGAGGCCTGCGTGGGACAGATTTTCCAGTCCCACTCCCGCAAAGATTATGATTTTCAGTCCCGCTCCCGCCCGCACCTGTAATAGTTTGTCCCGCTCCCGCCCGCAATTCCCACGTTAGCCTACTGCTCAAGGCAATTTGTGTCATTAGTTTGAGGAATTAAACAGGCAGCGCTTAGCTGAGCACATTACTGGCCGATTCTTCACCGCATGGTGCGGTAGGAGGCACGAGCTGCTGCTTCACAGCAATACCCAACTAACCTACCAGAATCTACTGAGGATATTAAGAATAATATATTGTGCATAATCTTATATGCTACTCATCATCACGTTCACGTATGAAATAAAGACTAGCTAAATGTGAAATGTTTATAAATATTTTTACAATTATATAATTCCTGCTCTTAGTGGGTCGCTCTGTCAACGAAAGGCAGATTTAAGAGTCTTTATCCTCCAGTTAATTGTTAATCGATTACTGGATTAGTTTACGATTATTTCAATAATTGATTAATCGGATTAATCGTTTCAGCCCTAAAGGAACAGACACCTGACGCTGCACGGCTGCTGCACGGCTGCTGCACGGCTGCTGCACAGCTGCTGCAAGGCTTTTAACTGCCTGATCTAACCCTGGAAACGTTCTGGTTGGTGGAAGTGCTGATTGTGTACCGGGAAAGGTTACAAACATTGTAGGAGGAAATCGTCCACGTATCCCAGGTGGAGCGTCTCAAACTGAGGGAACTCAAGCTCGGCCATTTTGAGAGCTGAAAAGACCCCGTCTTTAGTGAGTGAAGGCTGGATCCGCAGCTCATGAAGCCTGCAAAGCAAAAAAGATGGATTATAGTCTAAAGTATTCATCTGATGAAACCAACAGCCATAAATTATAAACCTGATGACATTTTATGTGTTGGCTCCCTCTACTGGCAGCAATGTTGCTGCTATAACAGGAAGTGACTCAGTGGAATATGTGGAACTAAAGGAACCAGACATGTTCACAAGTCATTTTTTACAAGTCCAAGCCAACTCTCAAGTCTATTTTGAGGCACTTTTCTCTAACCTGTGAAGGTTTGAACATCAACCCCACTGAGAACGGAAGAAATAAAAATGGAGGCTGTGAGGGGTTAATTCTATAGGTCCAGTTAGCAAAGAATGACAGGATGTTTAGGAACAGGAACCGTTTGGCTGTTAGCGGTAGCTAGGGACTTAAGGAGGTCTCTATGCTAACTGAATCGTCCTGCTTCCTGGTCCCAGCTCCTTCCTCACTGCTGGCACTATTCAGACAGGACTGATTATGGCGAGCGCTCCTCTGCTGCAGAGCTTTGAGGCCTAATTAATCCTAATCTAGGATGCAATAAGCTGAATGATTCCTGTTCAGTAAAGGCTGTCCAGTTTGCAGCAGAACCTTTTCTTCTCTGGCTGCATCATCTTAGCAGACCCTGGTTTACCCTCGCTTCGTGTCCTTCGCCATCATCATACCCAGCCCCTGATTGGTTAACGTAAAGCCAATTGACAACCATTCAGACGGCTGATTTGTCTATTTTATCACAGGAAATTCCGTCCTTCACTTCGCTGACCGCTGATTGGCTCCTGATGACGCCTTGAAACATGAAAATGACTGGCTGCAGAATGACAGGGTGTGGTTGGTGAACTACAACCCAACAGAAGGATTCAGCTGATTGGTTTCATCTGGAAAAAGAACAAACTTCAACGGTTCTTCCCTGGAAATGAACCCGCCTACAGTGGGATCGTTTACCTGCGGGCGGCGGTGATGATGAGGTAGCCAAGGTCCACTTCCAGGGCGTTCTTGCAAGCTCCAAAAACGATAGTGTGAAGGTTTCTGAATCCTCCTGGATGGAAAACAACAACCAGCAGAATGAAAGGCAGCATGAAGAGAGATAAACACACAGGTTTATCTTTGCAGCGTCATCTCACTGAAAACACAAAGGTTTCATGGTTTCCCACGGCTCCTCCCCTCACCCGATCTCCAGCTGTCCTCCACCACATGCTGGATCAGGCCGCCCAGGAAGGGAACCCTCACCAGCTCCAGCTGCTCCAGGTTCCGGGCTGACGCCAAGCCGGTGACCAGCGGGACGTATTTCAGCGAGTTGGTGGGCCCTGCACAGTTCCTCATCACAAAGGACCTCAGGTTGACGCACAGGAAGTCCTTAAACGGCTGAGGCTTGGTCAGACGGACCCACTTCAGGTAGAGGTGGCGCAGCATCGACACACAGGGGATCTCTGGGACGTTCACGCCTGAAACATTTCAGCCAGACTCAGCTGCGGCACTCAGACCGTTAGATCAGACTTCCTGTCCCACTCACCCACTAGATGAAGCGTCTGGAGCTTGGCCGTTACTGGGATGGTGAGTTTATTCTCTGCAGGGATGGGAAACGCTCCGTTACGGTTGCGAAACTTTCCCAGAATGTGAACCTGAGGCATATATTTCCAGATGGCCTCCACCAGCTCCAGGTGAGACGTCTCCACACCCTGAAAGCAGCAGAGCTTAGGTCACCGGCTCCACGGACAGAAACACTGAAGGAAAGAGCAACATTCACTCTGATCATTATCAATATCATAATCTAGCTCCTACAGCCTGAATCATTAAAACCATGAATAGATAAATCCAGGTTTGGGCTGAGACACTAGGGCGCCTTCAGACACCACGTGCAGCGTTTGACCCAAAGGTCAAAGGTCAGGGTATTAATCTCTGACCACAGCGTGAGAAGGACCTCTGCTACACGGCACTGAGCGTTGTAAAGGATAAACACAGGAATGTTCCGTCCTTTGAATCTAAACGCAGAGCTGTGATCTCCTCATGAGGCTCCAGATCCAGCAGGAAGGAGCGTTTCTCACCAGCAGGGTGGGACACGCTTGCAGTGCCTCTAGGACTCCAGGAATACTGAAAGCCTCGTAACCTCTGACCCGCCTCCTCTCCAGGTAGCGAGGGTGGAGGCCATACAGCTGCTCCAAGTCAGGCATCTTCTTCAACAGGGTGGAAAAGCTGCGGTCTGTGAAACCTAAGCAGGAGAAGAACATGAAGAGCTGTTCATCAACAGGCTCCATTTGATTAATGTTCATCACCACTTAAAAGAAGCTGATGGATTTTTAGAAAACCAGGCTGGTCCAACGAAGCACAGAGAATATATCCCTATAAAGAAGGAAGCTGCAAATAAAGACACAAGCTGCTG